TTACGTGGTTTATTCATGCACTTTCAACACACACACACACAGACATACGAATTCTTGTATTTTTGACAACACCTGAAGTTGAAGACGCGTGGTTTTGAGGCACTTTCAAAAAGGAACATAACTTCGTTTTCTTCAAATTAGGTTTTTAAATTCTGTTTCCTTTGTTTGAAACTCAAAAACGCTAGCACCGACAATAGATAGGCCTACTAGAATACATGTAGACTCCAGTCAATAAGCAAATAAGTGTGACTGAATTATGTATGGTGTTCGAATTTATTAAGTGTGCCGCAACATTGGTCTGGGTCTGTTGCTGATGTGAACATCACGTCACAGTGACTCATTTGACCAACCTCTTTACACCCCAGTTTAGTTTTAGTTTTAGTAAGAGTTTAATGGCACTTACAGCACAGAAGGGGTGACAATGTACAATTAATAAAAATGCGAAAGAGTTCACGTGTTACTAGAGAGTAACATACATTTAATAGAAAAAGGAGAGAGAAGAACGATAAATCAGGTAGATAGGAAAGAAGAGAGCAAACCACGCTAACGCACCCACCAAAAATCTGCAGCAATTCTGATCACTCCCAATGAACGCTTCGGTCCCCCAGGGGGAACACACGGTTTCTATTTTTTTAAAAGAAAAAGAAAAAAGAACGTGGGTACACATGTACTGTAAAGACTCGAACACTTAAGGTCAGGGGTCACAGCTTGCGATAAGCCTACTTGTACTTGTACCAGGGCGAACTACGATACTACACTAAGTTAGCAGCGGGAAGGAGGAATGGAGGAACGGAGGAACGGAGGAATGAGAGGAACGGAGCGAGACGGGAAGGGGGGAGAGGAGTTCGAAAACCACAGTCATGAAGAGTAACACACATAACACCCTGGCTGCTGTCTAGGAGTTGGAGGTGTCACTCTTTTTCTCTTCCCAACCCTATTGTTTCACTGTGGTGCTCAAGACATTCGACCCCACCCCCACCCCCATCCCCACTCCTCACACACACAAACAAACACACACACACACACACACACACACACACACAC